CAATCAAAACCTAAATCTTAACTCTAATTGAGAACCTCAAAACTATCATAGCAACATAGTGCAACCCGTTTTACTGGTGTAACATGGGTTGGCGGCACAGATATGGTTGTAGTATAACCTGTTCACATCCCGCAAGAGGTGTTTCTTTCAGGCATCCACCCTCTCGGAACAAGCCGCACCCCCACCCCCACCCTCTAACCATAACGAACCACAATATAAAATAGTAAAATTAAATAACATATAGGGCCTCTACTTTAACCATGCATGTAATTGTCCATTCCACCCTTTTCTCTTAATTTTTAGAAGCCCCCACCCCTACTTTTCCGCAGTAAAATGTTTGAAAGAAAAAACTACTAACCAGCTGTGGCTTGTACTCATTGCTTCAATTATATATATATGTATATATATATATATATATATATATATATATATATATATATATATATATATATATATATATATATATATAAGTACATGTCACAACCATGTGTGATTTAAAATACCGTCTTTGTTATTGTTTTTTTTTTATCCTGATCAAATTTATGATACATTATGATTGTCTATACAACACACAGATTGACAATAAATGTGTATGTCTATCAATCTTGTTTTTTTTCTTATGTTATTGTTATAACATACATTTTAAAAATGTATGTTTTTTTTCATACACAAACAATGAATAACACCCCCCCCCCAACCCCACCACCAGTATATCACATCACCTGGTTGAACATGTGCGGTAGTTCGCTTGGTCAGGTAAGGACATGGGCCTTAAGTCCGGTTTTTGAACTCGTGACTTTCAGGTTTGCAAAGCGCTTGGTCTACTGCTAGACCAAGCTGAGTAAAATATAAATTATTTGTAAAGAGAAGCAACCTTGTATTTTTAGCAAGAGAAATAAAGGATGGTTATCTCCCCTGAAAGAAGGGAGACAACTAGAAATTTATTTTTACAACACACAGCTGAACACTAAACAACGCACAATGACCTTTAAATTAAAGGCTGTCCTGTTGGAAAAGAAATCCCCTACTGGCTAAACAAATGAATACTGCTAAGAAAATGTAAAAAAATATTTCACATGCAAAAATGAGAACATCATTGAAATTTAAAAAACAAAAACACATCTAAGACATTGATCAAGTAAAAAACAAAGGCAAAATTCCTCTTAGACCAGGGGTCGGCAACCTGCGGCTCGCGAGCCCGCATGCGGCTCTTTTGATATCAAGATGCGGCTCTCCAGCTCCTTGCACAAATACTAATAATCTTAATAAAAAACTAAAATATTTGCAATAAAAAAATGTTAGTGGCTCTTTAAAACCAGGGAAATTTTGAAAATTGTAACTTTTGGCTCTTCCGCTTCGAAAGGTTGCCGACCCCTGTCTTAGACCTTTCTATCTTTTGGGCAGATGACGTAGAGTTTAAATGTTACTTGACCTCGACATATGAATGGGAAGGTGTTGTCAGCACTTTGTCCAGCCGCCTCTACTTTCCTAAACAAGAGTTAGGCCTTGGCTGTTCTACCGCCCCCCCCCCCACACCCCCGACGAAATGTAGTTATATAGTTATATAGAAAATATATACTTTAACCAGTGATCCACCCCCAACGCCCAGGACAAAAAAGTTTGAAAGAAACACTGCACATACGCAGTGGCGGAACTAGATAAAAAGGGCCCTATCTTTCTACATACACGTGGCCCTATTTTTCTTACATACACGTGGCCCTATCTTTCTAACATACACGTGGCCCTGTGTTTCGTACATACACGTGGCCCTGTGTTTCTTACATACACGTGGCCCTGTGTTTCGTACATACACGTGGCCCTGTGTTTCTTACATACACGTGGCCCTGTGTTTCGTACATACACGTGGCCCTGTGTTTCTTACATACACGTGGCCCTGTGTTTCGTACATACACGTGGCCCTGTGTTTCGTACATACACGTGGCCCTGTGTTTCTTACATACACGTGGCCCTGTGTTTCTTACACGTGGCCCTGTGTTTCTTACACGTGGCCCTGTGTTTCTTACATACACGTGGCCCTGTGTTTCTTACATACACGTGGCCCTGTGTTTCTTACATACACGTGGCCCTGTGTTTCGTACATACATGTGGCTCTAAGTTTCTTACACGTGGCCCTATGTTTGTTACACTTGGCCCTATGTTTTTTACAAACACGTGGTCCTATGTTTCTTACATTCACTGGGTATGGGCTCCGCATCAGGTATTGTTACTTTATTCAGTTGTCTATAATCCACGCATAGCCTAATCTCACCATTCTTTTTCTTTTTCAATACGATTGGTGCAGCATAAGGTGAATCCGACATTTCAATTGTGCCTGTCTCCAATAGTTCGTTGATTTCCTTTTGTACTTTATCTCTATAATGCAGAGGTAACTCATACGATTTTAATTTAATGAGGGTGTCCGATATCACTTTAATCTCATGTTCAATAGTGTTGGTTCTGCCGGGAACAGCAGACAATGTCTCTTGATATTTTGATAGTAACTGTTCTATCCTTTCCTGGAATTCTTCAGGGATATGTTTTAAGTCTATGTCTCGAAAAGATTCGTTGTTAACGGGAATCGTCCGAATTTCGTAAGTATCATCCTGATACCACAGCACAATTGATGGTAGCTGTATATTCCGGTATTTCTAAATCGGAGGGTCTCACATGGAACGGACTAAGTATATTAACACTTAGTTGATATTGTTAAGTTAAACAATGTATTCGACTTTGCTACGTGAGTAGACTGAGTGTAGATCGGTACGAGTGAATGTTGGTGCGAAAGGTATGTTGTGAAAGGAGTGTGCTGATTTACATGACTCAAGTTGGGAGATAGATACATGTATATATGAGAATAAAATATTGAGTTTGCCTTATCTCTGAGCGTCATATATTTGACTGAACGTGAGATAGCCGTACTGGTTCTCAAGGTTAGAACTTCTCTCCCTGGTATTGGAGACGAAGTAAATGGTAGTTGGTCGAGTCAAGTGACTCAAACCCTCACTGCACAGCATAAGCGTAACATTATATATATATATATATATATATATATATATATATATATATATATATATATATATTTATATTTATTTATTTATTTATTTATTTATTTATTTATTTATTTATTTATTTATTTATTTATTTATTTATTTATTTATCAAAGCGAAACTACTTGATTTAATAAATGCTTGATTAATTTAGTGCCGTTGCACCAACATGGCGTCTAAGATAGTTTAACTCTTTTTACGAAATGAAAAAAACTACTTCCGGTTAAGCATTCGAACCTTGTTTATCGTGTTACGATATAGATTTGTTTAGCACAATTGTATTATTTGTTTATAAACAAGTTTATGTATTTTGTGTCTTCAAAAAATGACGTAAAGTTTTCCAATCAAGTACCCAACCCCCACCCTATCATCACTTATAGTGTCAAAAAGTCAGAATTTTAAAATCTGTTTTCAAAAACACAAATATTTTTAACACCTTCATTTCATACAACATTGACTTTTAAGTCATTCTTAGAAATTTTTAAGAATTCGTCGTAGATTTTTTTAAGATTATTTTTTAATCAAAGATTGAAATGAAATAAAAGAAAAACATTGCGACCTCAGACACCTGACAATAGCCGGCCTTCTGTCTCCAGTCCCCCAAGTTGTCCAGTCCCCATCTCAACTACTTCAAAATCCCGAAGAAAGATTTCTTCATGAAAAAAACGTCAATGTTTTGGGTGTTAGTTTTCAGGTCCACTGGATTATATTTCGTACTGTCGTAAGACGAGGCGTACCCATGGAGGGCCATGAACTCAATAATAGGGTTACTCTCACTGGGTATACGCCTGTGCCACTCCATCTGCACGATGCGCACGTCCACTTCTTTGAAGAAACGGTGCGCACCCTTCAGCGCGTAGTGCTCCGCGTTCTCGATGTCCATTTTGATATAGACATGTTTCCCGGCCATGAGGGGAGTTAGGTCATCGATACAGATTGTTTTCACTTTCAGTTTGGGATGAAACTTGTCTATCAGTTCCTCATTGTGGACCCTTGACGTATTGAGACGCGGCAAACCCATGCGGCCTCTGGAAACAATATATATATATATATATATATATATATATATATATATATATATATATATATATATATATATATATATATATATATATATATATATATATATATATATACATATATATATATATATACATATATACACATATACATATATACATATATACATATATATATATGTGTATATATATATATATATATATATATATATATATATATATATATATATATATATATATATATTTATATATATATATATATACATATATATATATATATGTATATATATATATATAAACTTTGAAACACAGGGGGGGAGAGGGTTTAAGTAAACCGCTCTTCATCCAACGTTAAAGCAACCAATGTACATACAAACATACATACACACAGATGGATGCACATGTATTTTTTTTATTTTGAATATCGAGAGTCTTGGTTTGCTTAGCAAATTTTGCAATGAATTTTGTTAACCACAATCCTTTATTAAACGGTCAACTTCATGTATACGGTTTAAAACCATTATATTTATGGATTTCAGCCAATCTAGCTATTGCTTTACAGCCTACCTGTTGTCTCAGTGCATGAACCTATGTTATATTGATAGCAACCTTCTTATAGAGAGTATGAACCTATAGTGTATAGATAGCAAACTTCTTATAGATAGCAACCGACTTACAGAGAGTATGAACCTATAGTATGAATAAAAACCTTGTTATATAGAGTATGCATTGTTTCTTCCAGACTTTTTCTCCGAGGGGGCACTTGATATTTACCTGTACTGAGTATAAACCTTTTCTATACATTCCAACCTACCTGTATAGTTTATAAACCTTTTCTATACATTCCAACCTACCTGTATAGTGTATAAACCTTTTCTATACATTCCAACCTACCTGTATAGTTTATAAATCTTTTCTATACACTCCAACCTACCTGTATAGTGTATAAACCTTTTCTATACATTCCAACCTACCTGTACAGTGTATAAACCTTTTCAATACATTCCATCCTACCTGTATAGTGTATAAACCTTTCCTATACATTCTAACCTACCTGTATAGTGTATAAACCTTTCCTATACATTCCAACCTACCTGTACAGTGTATAAACCTTTTCTATACATTCCAACCTACCTGTACAGTGTATAAACCTTTCCTATGTATTCCAACCTACCTGTATAGTGTATAAACCTTTTCTATACATTCCAACCTACCTGTACAGTGTATAAACATTTCTATACATTCCAACCTACCTGTACAGTGTATAAACATTTCTATACATTCCAACCTACCTGTACAGTGTATAAACCTATGTATTCCAACCTACCTGTACAGTGTATAAACCTTTTCTATACATTCCAACCTACCTGTATAGTTTATAAATCTTTTCTTTACATTCCAACCTACCTGTATAGTGTATAAACCTTTTCTATACATTCCAACCTACCTGTACAGTGTATAAACCTTTTCAATACATTCCATCCTACCTGTATAGTGTATAAACCTTTCCTATACATTCTAACCTACCTGTATAGTGTATAAACCTTTCCTATACATTCCAACCTACCTGTACAGTGTATAAACCTTTTCTATACATTCCAACCTACCTGTACAGTGTATAAACCTTTCCTATGTATTCCAACCTACCTGTACAGTGTATAAAACTTTTTTCTTTATTCCAACCTACCTGTATAGTGTATAAACCTTTTCTATACATTCCAACCTACCTGTACAGTGTATAAACCTTTTCAATACATTCCAACCTACCTGTATAGTGTATAAACCTTTCTATATATTCCAACCTACCTGTATAGTATATAAACCTTTCCTATACATTCCAACCTACCTGTACAGTGTATAAACCTTTTCTATACATTCCAACCTACCTGTACAGTGTATAAACCTTTCCTATGTATTCCAACCTACCTGTATAGTATATAAACCTATGTATTCCAACCTACCTGTATAGTGTGACCTCCAACACGCGATGATCACTGTAGAGTGCGTTGTTGACAATGGTCACGTGATCGCTGAGGTTACTGACCTCCAAGGAAACCTGGACCCGCTGCGCATTCTCCGTGAGCATCTCCACACACACGACTCTCCTGTCTAGTGCCGCGGCCCACATCGTGTACTCACCAATGTTACAGCCGATGTCGAACAGCATCAGGGTGGGGTCTAGCTGTGGGGGTGGGATGGGGGGGGGAGCAGGAAAAATATATGGTATATAGATGTCTTGAAATGTTTTTTTTTTGTGTTTACAGATTGTGAGATATTTCTTTTTTCAGTTGCATGAAGAAGAAAACTAACCAAGAACAGGAATAGGTTTACGTCTCTTGATAGGTGTCGATTGATGCTGGAAATCTTCCAATGGTGTCATTCTGTTTCGCCTGCTTGAAATATTTTATTGGTGTCATTCTGTGTCGTATGATTGAAATCTTTTATTCGTGTCATTCTGTGTCGTATGATTGAAATCTTCCATTGGTGTAATTCTGTATCGTATGCTTGAAATCTTCAATTGGTGTCATTCTGTATCGTATGCTTGAAATCTTCAATTGGTGTCATTCTGTGTCGTATGATTGAAATCTTTTATTCGTGTCATTCTGTGTCGTATAATTGAAATCTTCCATTGGTGTAATTCTTTATCGTATGCTTGAAATCTTCAATTGGTGTCATTCTGTATCGTTTGCTTAAAATCTTTCATTGGTTTCGTTCTGTATCGTATGGTAGAATTCTCACAATAGTATCGTATGGTTAAAATCTTCCAATGGTGTCATTCTGTATCGTATGGTTAAAATCTTCTATTGGTGTCATTCTGTGACGCCTTCTTGAAATCTTTTATTGGTGTCATTCTGTGTCGTATGCTTGAAATCTTCCATTGGTGTAATTCTGTATCGTATGCTTGAAATCTTCCATTGGTGTCATTCTGTACCGTATGCTTGAAATCTTCCATTGGTGTCATTCTGTATAGTATGCTTGAAATCTTCAATTGGTGTTATTCTGTATCGTATGCTTGAAATCTTCCATTGGTGTAATTCTGTATCGTATGCTTGAAATCTTCCAATGGTGTCATTCCGTATCGTATGGTTAAAATCTTCCATTGGTGTCATTCTGTGACGCCTTCTTAAAATCTTTTATTGGTGTCATTCTGTGAAGTATGCTTGAAATCTTCCATTGGTGTCATTCTGTGACGCCTTCTTGAAATCTTTTATTGGTGTCATTCTGTATAGTATGCTTGAAATCTTCAATTGGTGTTATTCTGTATCGTATGCTTGAAATCTTCAGTTGGTGTCATTCTGTATCGTATGCTTGAAATCTTCAATTGGTGTTAATCCTTATCGTTTGCTTAAAATCTTTCATTGGTTTCGTTCTGTATCGTGTGGTAGAATTCCCACAATAGTATCGTATGGTTAAAATATTCCAATGGTGTCATTCTGTATCGTATGGTTAAAATCTTCCAATGGTGTCATTCTGTATCGTATGGTTAAAATCTTCCAATGGTGTCATTCTGTATCGTATGGTTAAAATCTTCCAATTGTGTCATTCTGTATCGTATGGTTAAAATCTTCCAATCGTGTTAAAAAAAATGGATGTCGCGGTCTGATTCAATCGACAAAGTAAACTACCCAAAACCACACTGAGAGTTCAACTAAGCCAGGCTAAATCCTGGCGACAACACCAAACCTTCCTTCCACAATAAAATCAGCAAACCCTTTTCTGTGTAGTCGGTACATCGCCATTTCTTTCTTGTGTGTTTTTATCTTACCTAATTCCATAAACACGGTCGTATTTTTCAATAAATTCCATCGTCTGTATACACACACTCTTCACATTTGTATTTAACAAATTTAACTTAGCATGGTAAAAAAATTGCAGCAACTAGTATATATATTTACAAAGACCTGTTAAGTTTGACTACATTAATTTACGTATAACTGCGATATATATATATATATATATATACATATATATATATATATATATATATATATATATATATATATATATATATATATATATATAGATAGATAGATAGATAGATAGATAGATAGATAGATAGATAGATAGATAGATAGATAGATAGATAGATAGATAGATAGATAGATAGATAGATAGATAGATAGATAGATAGATAGATAGATAGATAGATAGATATGTATATATATATATGTATATATATATATATATATGTATATATATATATGTATATATATATATATATATATATATATATATATATATATATATATATATATATATATATATATATATTATATATATATATATATATATATATACATATATATATATATGTATATATATATATATATATATGTATATATATATATATATATATATATGTATATATATATATATATATATATAATTTGTTAATACAGCAATACATGAAAAATCTGTATATATAAATAAAGATAGTATTAGGCTGTTTTTTCTTACCTTTAAGGCTTTGTCCATTTCAAGTACCAGAGCTTTCTCCCATAGTTCCTTTTTCTGACAATAGTAAACATGACCAGTGGTTGATAACCATAGTTCCCTTTCTCACAATGAAAACATGACCAGTGATTAATAACCATAGTTCTATTCCTCACAATGAAAACATGACCATTGATAGATAACCATAGTTCCCTTTCTCACAATGAAAACATGACCATTGATAGATAACCATAGTTCTATTCCTCACAATGAAAACATGACCATTGATAGATAACCATAGTTCCCTTTCTCACAATGAAAACATGACCAGTGATTAATAACAATAGTTCCCTTTCTCACAATGAAAACATGACCAGTGATTAATAACAATAGTTCCCTTTCTCACATTGTAAACATGACTAATGATTTGACGATAACAAGGGGCCTAAGTGAAGAGCTACTCTGATATATACTCATTATGTCCCCTTTTAATTGCATTCTGGAGGTCGGCGTGGACGGGTTGATTAAGCTCGTTGTTGCTTAACCGAAAAGTCCCGAGTTCGAACCCCGGGTCAGATGAGGCTCGATAGCTACAGACAGCTACCTAACTAGGAGAGACAACTCCAAAATCAAACAACTGCTGCCTTGTAACAAATCCAGAGAGAAAAGCAGGCTGTGTCATCAGACAATATGGCGCATAGCAAGTTGACACGTATACTTAATTGTATTGGAGGGAATGCCTTCCAACTTTAGAATTAAGAACGAAGAAGAAGAATTGCCTATTTTATGGTGTAACTAATTAAATATTCAATAACGAGTGATTTTTTCTATAACGCTTAAATATAACATATATACATATGTTCGTCAAATGTTTGAGAGATTTATCCAGCTGTTGGTAACTCACTCCCCGCCCCCCACACCACCACCACCACCAGTGTTTCTTCCAGACTTTTTTCTCCGCGGGAGCACTTGAAATTTTAGGGGGGGGGGCGGTAGACTTTCTTCGGTGGGGGGGGACACTGTTAAAAGTATATATTTTCTATATACATTATATAAATTTAATTTCGTTCGGGGGGGGGGGGCGGTAAAAAATTTTCGGGGGGGCTTTAACCCCCCCCCCCCGAAGAGATGCCTGGAAGAAACTCTGACCACCACCCACAACAAGTAAACCATCCGGGATGGATTCCCCTTAACTCCCCTATGACAATGTTCCCGTAATGGTATCGCAGGAGACACGCCCCTTACCTGTATAAGATGGGCAGAGATGATCGTGTCGACGTCAGGGGGGTGAGGGCAGATCTTGACCCCGGGCTTGGGCGAGTCAGGGAAGGGCATGCAGGTGCTGTACGTCAGGTTCAGCCTGGGGTCGGGGGTGGAGGGCAAGATGCGGACATCGGGGTGGAGCGTGGGTTCCGTGGGTCCCGTGGGTTCCGTGGGTCGCGGGCTGATCGGGTGGGGAGGTAACACCTGGACAGTGGGCACGACGTTGGGCACGTGAGCGTCGTAGGACAGCGCGGTTGGCACGATGATGTCAGGTCGATTTCTCCAAACGGACACCACACTGACATGTCGCGGCGTATCTGGCATGGTACTGTCAATCTGACAAGATGGAAACGATCAGAACAAAATGTTAGTATCTTATTAAGTTAAACTAACTGTAACCTTATGTAACATTTACGTTAATTGAAATAAAAATTTTGATGGAGGCATGCGGCGGTGGTCAGACACGGGGAGGGGTGGGCGCCACCATCAGTGTTTCTTCCAGACTTTTTTCTCCGGGGAGGGGGGGGTACTTGAAATTTTCAGTGAGGGGGGGGGAGGGGCAGACTAAAATTGTTAAGAGTATATATTTTCTATATAAATTCAATATCGTTCGGGGGGCGGTAGACTTTCTTAGGGGGGGGGGGGGCGAAGAGATGCCTGGAAGAAACTCTGGTCGCCATGCCAATTGTATAGAGCAGGGGTCTCCAAACTAAGGCCCGTGGGCCGGATGGGGCCCGCGAGGTCCTCTTATCCGGCCCGTGGAGATCTTTTTGTCCACGGAAAAAAACGTTTGTTGGTAATGGCTGAGGAACTTTACCCAGAAAATCAGACATGCCTGGAAGAAACTGGCCCCCGAACTGAAAATTGATAGTTAATGCGGCCCTCGGACTGAAAAGTTTGGAGACCCCTGGTATAGAGGACAAATGCAGTACTCCACTTTTTTTTGTGAAATCGATGTAAGCTAGATTTCTCTTATATAGTCAATAATAAAAACTACAAGAATACTCATGTACAATGTCAGAAAAGAAGAATGCAATTATTTTATGAATGTTTAAACATAATATTTTGCACAATTTTAATATTGGGGTGAGATTTATAAACTCTATTTTCTCGAGATTATGTTTTTTGGACATACTGTCCTCTATACACTGGATGCAATACTTAGCCCAGGACACCCCACTATGTGGAGCCCCAACGTACAAAACAGGAGTTAAGGGATGATTCAGAATGTTTGTATTTATAACACTAAATTTTGATACAGTGGCGTAGCGAGGGGGGGGGGGGCGGGGGGACGGACATATGACCCCGGGCGCCGACCTTTGGGGGTGCCAAAATGGGTTGGAAAAATAAATTGAAAGGTTGAGAAGGGTGCAAATTGAAAGTTTGAGGGGGTGTGCAAATCGAAAGTTTGAGGGGGGGGGAGGTGCAAATCGAAATCTTGAGGGGGGGGGGGGGGTGCAAATCGAAATCTTGAGGGGGGAGGGGTGGTGCAAATCGAAAAGTTTGTCCCCGGGCTCCGGGAAGGGTCGCTACGCCTCTGTTTTGATATTAAAGTCGTCTTACTGCATGAAGTAGCTCAGGGTACCCAGTCTTAAAAAAACCTTAATGTTACTTGAAATTACGTTTAGTGTCATTGGTAAAAAGTAGCACGAATAATGATCAGGTGATATAAATATTGATAACATTCTATCATACTCTTGACAATTTGATAAGATCAGTTGTGTTAATAATTTATAAATTTAAACTTAAACGTGTGGTTACATTAGATGACGCAATTTATTAGATTAAAATTTTGTTTTACTGGAATTTAAAGAAAATTCACATTAAAATTTAAAAAAAAACCCACCTAAACTGATAAATCACGACTAATGTAAATTGACTTTTTTTGGTTTGTTTTTTTTTTGTCCTTTTTTTTGTTTTTATTTTCTTTTCTTTGTCTTTTTTTTCTTTAAGTGTTAAGAATACCTGACAACAGCAATTTCTCACCGGTTTAGAGTAGAAGAGGCAATAGAAACCCAGGATCAAAGCCAACGGAATGACAGCCGACAGCTTGGCAATATACCGGAGTGCCTGAGACCTCATTTCCACACAGATCCTGAAAATGTTCACAAAACGTCTTTCAACGCTGTGGTGTAAGGTTGTCCAACTTCACCATGTGACGTCGTGATGTCACGTTTTGTCACATCGTCACGATGTGACGTCGTGATGTCACGTCTTGTTGATGTCACATCGTCACGATGTGTTACGGCGTCACGATGTCACGGGAGACGGTGTGGTCGAGTGGTAGAGCTCTCGGCTGCTAATCTGAAAGTCTTAAGGTCTGTATTAGCTGTACTCATCAGAGAAACCTGAATGTTTTTCGCGTTTGTTCCGGCACCATTGTAACGTTCTATGGAATTCATACTACACTCAGGGCCCAGATCGAAAGGTCAAATGGTTTGGACTCCTTGTGTTTAGCGTGACTACACAGATAACAGGGGACTTAGTGGTCAAGCGGTTGAGAGCTGGACTGCTAACCCGTAAATCTCGGGTTCGAATCCGGGCACAGTAGACCGTCCCTGAGTCCACACAGGGAAATTAAAGGCGGCTGGGCAAAGTGATGACCACACTATCTCTTCATGTGTCGAGGTCTCTTCATGTGTCGAGGTCACAGAAACAAGTGAACTCTACTTCACTTGCCCTATAGACCATCAGTTTTGAAAGAGAAATTTACTCTTCTACATACAAATATTATAAAACGTTTATTTCTTTTAATAAAATGTCAACCATTGGCTCTAACGCCTGAATTATAGTTTGAATATTTTTAGAGTGTTCAGCTGTTTTTAAAATATATGTGCTTTCGAAAAGCTGAATACATGCTTTGTTGATACTTTTTAAACACATCAGATGTATTTGTTTATATTCATAACTATGTTTTTTTAGGTTACTAAGCTAAATTTGTAACCAAAAGTAGTTGCCACGTGGATCTAATTATTAAAAAAAACCTGTGAGATTCACGGAATGGACGAAGTGAAGATTGATTTTTTAATTTAATGGTTTTTTTTTTCCAAGAACGAAACTGGACATGTGTTAAAACAATTATTTCAAATGCCACAAATCAAAATATTTACCGGAAGTGTACGCACAAAAACATTAACAGTTTGTCCGTAATAAATAGCCAATCAAATTGTATATTTAAAAAGCTGTAAGTTCAATAAAATGGCAAAGAAAAAAGGAAATATAGTCTAAAGCTAAAATATCTTTTAAAAAATGCTAGCGTTTACAAATTTTAAATATTAAAGCTATTAAAATATTAAATTTCTACAATGTAATGTTTTACTGGTATAATGAAGTAAGTCAAAAAGAAAGAGGTCATTATTAAAACTAGTTTTTCATCCATGAAAACAATAATCCTCAGCTCCGTCAGTGAACATAAATTTACCATTCGCCCCCAGTTTCAAATGTTTGTGGCGCTTTTTACAAGACACTATATTGAGACAGTTTTTATTATGGTACTGCCCCAACTCATTTTAGAAAACAGATAAATCAAAGTGTAAAGCTATGTATCCGTTTTTGTTTTCACGTTGATTGTGTACAATTCAATACCTCAGATTAGTAAACATTTTTTTTCTACCCCTTTTTTAGCGCCCTCATAGGCAGTGGCGTAGCGAGGTTGGGCGGCACTTAATGGTGTCACCCCCCCCCCAGAGGCGTAGCGACCCTTCCCGGGGACAAACTTTCAAATTTTCGATTTGCAACCCCCCCCCCTCAAACTTTCGTTTGCATCCCCCCTCCCCCCTCAAGTTTTCGATTTGCACCCCCCTCAAACTTTCGATTTGCACCCCCCTCAAGTTTTTCTCTAAATATTTTGCTATTTTTTGTCTTGGTGTCACCCCCCTAAATGGTGTCACCCGGTGCAGTCCGCACCCCCTGCCCACCCCCCCTCGCTACGCCTCTGCTCATAGGGTCAGCGCCTTGAGCGACCCTACTAACCGCGCTCCCATGGCTACGCCACTGAGCTCAAGAGATCACGCGCTCCTTTGTGACAAATTTAGACTGGACAACTCAAACTTTTTGTAAGATGTGGCATGTGGCGTACCGCATGATCTGACGACAGCTACTACAAGATGTTGAGATTATAAAATGACTAACGTGACAATTTTAAGTGTCTATATTTCCTATCTTTAGTATCTCTATCAGAGTTTCTTCCAGGCATCTCTTCCCCCCCCCCCCCCCCCCCGAAAAAATTCTACCGCCCCCCCCCCCTCCCGAACGAAATGAAATTTATATAATTTATATAGAAAATATATACTTTTAACAGTGTCCGCCCCCCCCCCCCGAAGAAAGTCTACCGCCCCCCCCCCCCCCGAAAATTTCAAGTGCCCCCCCCCCCCCCGGAGAAAAAGTTCTGAAAGAAACACTGATCTCTATACTTCGTATCTTTAGTCTCAGGAGAATCTTTTTACAGACAGCCGCGTCAGGTTTATTCAACAGTTACCGTTGCTGAAACTGGTACTAAAAAAATAGGAAGGCGTGTTCAGATGGTAGAGCGCTTTTTAAACAATAGCATGTGGTTCCTTGGCCAAGATGAGACTCTACTATTCGACAAAGATCCTATCCTAGATGAGTGTTTCTTTCAGTCAACTCTCCGACCCACCTACATCCCATTCGAAATTTTTTTTTATCAAATTTATGTAGAAAATATGGTTCACACCCCGGTACTTTCGAGTGCTCTTCTCTCCCCCCCCCCCCCCTCAAAGAAAAAAGCCTGAAAGAAACTATGTCCTAATATCCAAGATCTTGATCTAGATCTATTTTTTTATTTCTAGACCTAGAATCTAGATCTAGACTTTTTCTCTAGATCTAGAATCTATATTTTTAAACAAAATGTTGATTATTTATTGTAGATCTGGAATGTCTAAATCTAGACGTCTAGTGCCGTCTTTTGCTTTACCTGAATTTAAGTTACAACAGTGGATTAGAAATAAATGTGACTTTCTTCAGGAATAACCTCAAAACGTAAAAATGTGAAACAATTATATTAGTCCTCTTCTTCTCTACTAGATCTAGATCTAGAGTCTAGTACCTAGTAGATCTAGTGTTGTAAGAACAAGAAGCAGTTAGTGTTCAGGCCGGCGGAAGTTGATTAAATGTGTAATTCAGGCTAGTTGGTTTATTTTCGGTGCGAAATGGTGCGCGGTCTCTACAGTTAGTGATTGCAGTTCATACACAGGTGCTTGAAAATGGGACAACTTTGTAATAATTGAATGCTATAAAACAGAAAGATATTTAATATAAACATATTTTATGAAGGCATACATATATAAAACCCCCACAAATAAGCTGCAATAGCCCATGTCTAATAAAGTCGATTATTTTTTGTAAACTTTGGTAAGGGTTAAAAGTAGCGATCTTACAGGTGAAGACTCTATTCGTCGAATCTTTCACAATTTTTTTTTACTTTTTCTCTTTAGTTGAAATTTCTAATACACTATAAAATATGAAACTCAAATACCGAGCAATGAAAAACAAAAACAGCATTTTTTTGTTTTACTTATGTATGTTAATGAAACATTGAAAGTATACGTTAATTTAAATTGAAATTTTCTTCTGCACTCCCCCCCCCCCTTCCCGTCCTCACCCTCATCTGCCCATCACACACACACACACATGTCACATACATACACATACACACACACACACACTTTAATCATTAGTTTTTAATTCTAACTATCTAGCTCATATGATCATATATTATATATAGGCATATATATATATAACATATATATATATATATATATATATATATATATATATATATATATATATATATATATATGTTATATATATGTATATGTTTAATTTTATGTATGGATATATTTTTATATTATATATATATATATATATATATATATATATATATATATATATATATATATTATTATATTATATATATATATATATATATATATATATATAGTGGTTGTGTGTGTGGCTTGATGGGGAACTATGTCGAACTGTGTGTTTGTGTGTATGTAGCAGTGTGGGCATTTTTACCGTAGCTGTGTATGTACTTTGTTCGGGCGGTCAAAAGTGTGTTTGAACCCGCGGTGTAAATATGTGATGTTATCCACATGTATAGCTGTTTGTTTGTGTTTAATCATGTGTAAAAAAAAATCAATTTTTTTTAAACAGCAAGCTTTTATATAATTATGCACTAAAAATGAATAAAAATGATTTGTTTAAAATATATAATAATACACTACTTATTTAAATAACTAAAAAAAGGATATCTATCGATGACGAAGCATTAAGCGCCACAGACAGACAAAGGAAGCAAGCTAAGTAAAAGCTTGTAAAAACAGATAGCATCTTTATAGAGTTCAGTCAGACCTTAATCATGCAGCCAATAGTGAATTCCAGATCCATCCCTTGTCCCAACAGCATATCCTAAACTGTACGCAAACACACACAGTTCTCTTCAAAATACTAACCTAGTCCTATATAGTAATTTTTAAAAAAAATACCTAAACTTTACGCAAACACACACAGATCTCTTCAAAATATTAACCTAGTCCTATATAGTAATTTTAAAAAAAAACTAAACTTTACGCAAACACACACAGATCTCTTCAAAATAGTAACCTAGTCCTATAGGCCCTATAGTAATTTAAAAAAAAAACTAAACTTTACGCAAACACACATATCTCTTCAAAATATCAACCTACTCCTATATAGTAATTTAAAAAAAAACACATAAACAGTACCCAAACACACACAAATCTCTTCAAAATATTAACTTAGTCCTATATAGTAATTAAAAAAAAACATAAACTTTACGCAAACACACACAGATCTCTTCAAAATATCAACCTACTCCTATATAGTAATTTTAAAAAAAGATTTCTTCATAAAAAAAACATCGATGTTTTTCCCAATTTTAGTCGGGTCAACATGAACGTACACGGTGCTGTTAAATGAACATGCGTAACCATGGAGATCCATAAATTCCAGAATGGGCGTACTCTCCTCTGGAAGACGCTTATGCCACTCCATCTGAACGATGCGCACGTCCACTTCTCTAAAGAACCGGTGCGCACACACCAGCGCGAACTGCTCCGATTTCTCTATGTCCATTTTGATGTAAACGGGTTTTCCCAGCATCAGGGGAGTTAAGTCATCGATACAGATTGTCTTTACTCGTCTGATGGTTTGGTTGGTGTCGACGTATTCCTGACGAAAAACTCGAGAAACGTTTATGCTGGTTAGGCCGAACCTTTGCCTAGGGATTAAAGAATGGTAAATAAGTTAGGGTTTGGGTGTGCATTGGGTTAAGGGTTAAATTATTGTGTTTTAGTTAGTGTTTAGCTCCTCAGCAAGTTTTAAATCTAACGTGTTGCGGTTGAAAAGTGTAGGTGATAATTTTAGGGTAAATCTAGAACCTAAGGATTAGAGAAGGGTTAAGTTTAGTTTATGTGTTTGAGTAGAGTCAGGGGCGTAGCGAGGGGGGGGAGGTGGGGGCCGGGGGGTGCGGACCGCACCGGGTGACACCATTTAGGGGGTGACACCAAGGCAAAAAATAGCAAAATATATAAAGAAAAACTTGAGGGGGGGTGCAAATCGAAAGTTTGAGGGGTGGAGTGCAAATCGAAAATTTGAAAGTTTGTCCCCGAGAAGGGTCGCTACGCCTCTGGGGGGTGACACCATTAAGTGCCGCACCGGGTGACACCCGACCTCGCTACGCCACTGAGTAGAGTCCTTTAATGGGTTAGTGTTACGGTTGTAATTCGGAACGAAGTGTTTAGGTCAGGCTAATATTACTGTTTGTGTTAAAGTTAAGTTTAGTGATATAATTAGGTTACGTCTAAATTAGGCAATATTTTTTAACTAAAGCACCATTTCTTTTTTCCCCCTTTATTATAGTCTGTTAGTTTTCATTGCATAATAAACTAAATAAACAGGAAAAAATTCAATTATCCGTTAGAACAAAGTTCGATTATTGCGATCTTACAATTAGATTATTGATATCTCATTTCTAAGCAACTTCTTAATTTTAACCATAACCTAGGAGACGCGGGTTTGTTATCTATTGTAAAATAACATTGTGTTGTTGTTATTTCATTATGTTTTTTTAGCGCAATTTCCATACTGGCAATTGCGATTATTAACTCGTATATGGATGGATGTGTGTCCGCGCTTTAAATCGTATCTCCTCCTCAACGAAGCAATATCGAGGACTAGTTTCAAAAGCAAATATGTTAAGCAAGTTCCGAGGATGATTATGGGCCAAAAAAAAAATCCCGGAATTCCTTCCTGGATTTCCCGGAAAAGCCAAAAAAAACTCGAAAAAATGCAGTTTTTTGCCCATATCTCGGCAACCAGACCACTTAGCGACTTGAAACATTTACCAATCGATTCCTGCCATAATTTAGAACAATATTGCCGAAGAAAGTTTTCAAAAATATCCTTTCGTTCGGTCACAAAAAATTAATTAAGGAAATTGCGCTTAAATTGTCACTAGACTTTTTATTAACTTGTTTTATTTTTTAAGGTTACTTAATGTATTCTAATGTGCTAATATGGCTCGTACCAGTGTTTCTTTCAGACATTTTTTTCATGGGGGGAGGGGCACTTTTTATTTCATTCGGGGGGGGAGAGTAGGGGAGGACGATAAACGTCCCAACCCCCTCCCCCCGTAGAGATGCCTGATAGAAACACCGGGCTGTTCTCAGAGGCGTAGCGACCCTTCCCGGCGCCCGGGGACAAACTTTTCGATTTGCACCCCCCCCCTCAAGATTTCGATTTACATCCCCCCTCTCAAACTTTGGATGTGCACCCCCCCCCCTCAAGATTTCGATTTGCACCCCCCCCCCCACCCTAAAACTTTCGATTTCCACCGCCCTCAACCTTTCAATTTATCTTTCCAACCCATTTTGGCGCCCCCTAAGGTCGGCGCCCGGGGACATATGTCCCTCCCCCCCCCCCACCCACCCACCCCCCCCACCCCCCCCCCCCCCCGCTACGCTACTGGCTGTTCTTGGAGGGATTCGAACCTACTTGTAGAAAGTAATCTTCAGCACATGGCTGTTCTTGGAGGGATTCGAACCTACTTGTAGAAAGTAATCTTCAGCACATGGCTGTTCTTGGAGGGATTCGAACCTACTTGTAGAAAGTGATCTCCAGCACGCGGTGGTCGCTGTAGAGGGCGTTGTTGACGATGGTCACGTGACCTCCAAGCTTGCTGAGGGCCAGCGCCATCTGGATCCGCTGGACGTTCTCCAACAGCATCTCCACGCTCACCACCTGTCTGCCCATGGCCGCGGCCCACAGTGTGTACTCACCGATGTTGGCGCCTATGTCGAGCAACATTAGGTCCGGGTCTCGCTAGAGTGGTGGAGGGGTGGGGGTGGGGAGTGGGGGTGGGGAGTGGGGGGTAGAGGGACGACGGATAAAGAGATTAATAACTGAATTTATTTTTTTAAAATTTCAGTCAGGTTGCAATACTAGCTTAGCAAGGGCACTAGTGATACAATGCTAGGTTATCCAGTCAGTAGTGGATACAATCCCAGCTTATCCAGTCAGTAGTGGATACAATCCCAGCTTATCCAGTCAGTAGTGGATACAATGCCAGCTTATCCAGTCAGTAGTGGATACAATGCCAGCTTATCCAGTCAGTAGTGGATACAATGCCAGCTTATCCATTCAGTAGTGGATACAATCCCAGCTTATCCAGTCAGTAGTGGATACAATCCCAGCTTATCCAGTCAGTAGTGGATACAATGCCAGCTTATCCAGTCAGTAGTGGATACAATGCCAGCTTATCCATTCAGTAGTGGATACAATCCCAGCTTATCCAGTCAGTAACGGATATAATGCTAGTTTATCCAGTCAGTAGTGGATACAATCCCAGCTTATCCAGTCAGTAGTGGATACAATCCCAGCTTATCCAGTCAGTAATGGATATAATGCTAGTTTATCCAGTCAGTAGTGGATACAACGCTAGCTCATCCAGTCAGTGGCGTATACAAATCTAGTTTATCGTATAAATAGTTGTCATTCCTACCTTTAAAGCATCCGTCATTGCATGTATCAAGTCTTTCTCCCACAGTTCTCCTTTCTTGTAATAAAGAGTTGTATTTGTAAATGTATGTGTGTATATATATATATATATATATATATATATATATATATATATATATATATATATATATAAACATAACTATATTCATAATTATATATATATATATATATATATATATATATATATATATATATATATATATATATATATATATTTTTCTTTTCATGGGGACCTTGAAGGAAACCACCAAGACGTAAGCGCCTAGCAGTCCCCTCTCTTCCTCTCTAGGCCTATCCCTACCACCCCCACCAGTCTGGGGAGCTGTGGTTCACGCCAAATGTTTACAATCACAGTGACGGCTATAAGGGGCAGATAATTTAGTTTGAAACGATTTTCTACATGGAGGGGGGGGGGGGGTTACTAAGAGGAGGAAGCTTTCACGGGGGGGGGGGGGGAGGGGTTGGGGGGAAAGGAGGGGGGGGGTTATCGTCCTTTACGAGCTACTGATAGTGTTTTAAAGCAAATATTTTCAGTGGCAGCATTGGTACTGTCGAATTCACAAATTATGAATTACTGAAAAGTAGAAAATAAAAGAACTAAGTAGCGGCGTATTCTACGCCATGGGTCGGCTCGTATATATATATATATATATATATATATATATATATATATATATATATATATATATATATATATATATATATATATATATATTATATATAAGTATATGTATATGTATATATATATATATATAATTATAGTGTACATGTGTGTGCGCGCGTGTGTGTCTGTTTGTGTGTGTGTAGAAAACCAATGGTTACATTTCAATTATATATGAAGAAATATCTTTAAGTCAGATACTATTGTAACTTTACATGTTGAAACCGACGTTCAAATAAATATAACCTGCCTTATTAAATTTCATTTAAAATAGATGTATTTGAATAGCATGAGATGTTTGGAGCATTAGTCATTGGGAGATCACACACAAACCCATATACCGTCAGGAGCCATTTGGAAATGGCGATGTCCCCACTCAGGGGATGGGGGCAGATTATGACTCCGGGTCTAGGTGACTCCGGCATAGGCACGCAGTTGTCGTGCGAAAAATCTGTGTCTGGTGGAGTGGACGGGACGATGCTGACGTCGGGGTGAAGGCCAGTCTCTCCAGGGTGAAGGCCAGTCTCCCCAGGTTGTTCGAGAATTAGCTGGAGCACTGGATTAACGAATGATGCTCTCTCCGCATTAGGATTCTGTGTGGGGTTCCCCTGATGGTAAGCGTGATATGGTAACTAGACGAGTTAATGCAATGTCTAAATGATATTAGGTAATGTCTAGAGGATATTAGGTAATGTCGTCTAGATGATATTAGGTAATGTCTAGAGGATATTAGGTAATGTCTAGATGATATTAGGTAATGTCTAGAGGATATTAGGTAATGTCTAGAGGATATTAGGTAATGTCTAGAGGATATTAGGTAATGTCTAGATGATATTAGGTAATGTCTAGATGGTATTAGGTAATGTCTAGATGATATTAGGTAATGTCTAGATGATATTAGGTAATGTCTAGAGGGTATTAGGTAATGTCTAGAGGATATTAGGTAATGTCTAAATGATATTAGGTAATGTCTAGATGATATTAGGTAATGTCTAGATGATATTAGGTAATGTCTAGATGATATTAGGTAATGTCTAAATGATATTAGGTAATGTCTAGATGATATTAGGTAATGTCTAGATGATATTAGGTAATGTCTAGAGGATATTAGGTAATGTCTAGATGATATTAGGTAATGTCTAGATGATATTAGATAATGTCTAGATGATATTAGGTAATGCCTAAATGTAATTTCTAGATGATATTAGGTAATTTCTAGATGATACTAAGTAACGTCTATATGATATTAGGTAATTTATGAAGGATATTATAAATTTCTAAATAATAATTTGTAATGTCTAAAAAAGTACTATGTAATGTCTAAATAATATTAAGTAATTTCTAAATAATGTGATGCCACATCCAATATGATATTACGTAATTCTGAATGATATATAATGTCCAAGTAATAGTATATTGTCTAAATGATATTATATAATGTTTAAATGAAATTATTTAATGTCTATAGAATATAATGTAAAGTCTAACTGCATATCGTGCAATGTCTAAAAGCTACTATATATGATCAACTATCGTAATTCTGTCAGTCCGGACGATAGAACTATTAAGAAGTTTTCGGTGAACACGCATACGAAACATACGGGTACGTCCAAAAAAGGTTAAAAACTACTGATTTACTAAATAAATAAGAGAACAAAAACTAGTGGAACAGAGTAGAAAATAGGACAAGAAAGAAGAAAATACGCAATACTTACCTCAAACTTATAGCGAAACAAATACACACCCAGCAACAGGATGATAGAAATCAGAATTGGCCATTTACGGTTGAACCATCTTAAATACGTAACCATTTCTTGCGTTGACTTGAAATGGGTGGCTTTTTTACTTGCAGTCAGTTGTTCTTTATACCAGTAGTCAATTGACCTTTTTACCGGAAATCAATTCAACTTTTTACCAGCAGTCAATTGCTCTTTTTACCAGCAGTCAATTGCTCTTTTTACCAGCAGTCAATTGCTCTTTTTACCAGCAGTCAATTGCTCTTTTTACCAGCAGTCAATTGCTCTTTTTACCAGCAGTCAATTGCTCTTTTTACCAGAAATCAATTGAGCTTTTTACCAGCAGTCAATTGCTATTTTTATCTGCAGTCAATTGCTCTTTTTACCTTCAGTCAATTGTTCTTCATACCAGCAGTCATTTGCTCTTTTTACTTTTACAGACAACGGTTCTATTCAGTTACAGTCAGAGGCTTATTTACCTGCAAATAATGTACAGGGTGTATACTAAAAGCATCAGCCATAAGAACGTATATAACCTACCAAGTATAGCTCTAGCTTACACCACACACAAAATTTGAATTCAGTGTCGGAAACCTCTGAATCAATGACAGATCCCAGATGTAAACTTGCTTTGTGTACTTTCATACAGAATATTTTAATTTCTTTTTTTTTCGTGAATTATAACAGAGTGTAAATTTAGTGGAGTAACTGGCATACATTATATCTTGAATAATAGCGTGTCTTTGCTGACAAAAAGAGAAGCGAGAAAATTTTTATTTTTGAATAGTAGTAGTGTATTAGGTTATTAATCTTTCACGCTGTTGAATTTCAATAATATCCAAATATTTATTCTTTTGTAAACGTATTTGTTTCATTCTGTGTGCAATTTAAACGTTATATATATATATATATATATATATATATATATATATATATATATATATATATATATATATATATAATAGTATCCATATTTTTTAAATTTTATCAAATCACGAAGTGGATTAAACAAGAAAAGCATGAATAATTTATAAATTTACCTTAGATAAATGTGTTATATTGTATGTCCTATAAATAGCTACACCTCAGTTACTGTTCATGAAAGACGATGTAATTACTCAAAGTTTCATAAAACAATGGATCATAATTTAAAATACGAACCCATCGATCGCTTTTTAAAATAACATCAGCAGACATGACTTTTATGGATTTATTGTCGTACTTTTGTCATGTATTAAGGTTTTATATAGCTTTTACAAGCCCTAAAATAATATCGTTGGGCGAGTTGTATAATTTATAATTTGGGTTGTGTTGTATGGTACGTTTGGTTGGTGGTGTTGTATGTGTGGTTTGTGATGTTGTATGTGTGGTTTGTGATGTTGTATGTGTGGTTTGTAATGTTTGTGATGTTGTATGTGTGGTTTGTGATGTTGTGTGTGTGGTTTGCGATGTTGTATGTGTGGTTTGTAATGTTGTATGTGTGGTTTGTGATGTTGTATGTGTGGTTTGTAATGTTGTATGTGTGGTTTGTAATGTTTGTGATGTTGTATGTGTGGTTTGTGATGTTGTATGTGTGGTTTGTAATGTTGTATGTGTGGTTTGTAATGTTTGTAATGGTGTATGTGTGGTTTGTGATGTTGTATGTGTGGTTTGTAATGTTGTATGTGTGGTTTGTAATGTTTGCAATGGTGTATGTTTGGTTTGTGATGTTGTTTGTGTGGTTTGTAATGTTGTATGTGTGGTTTGTAATGTTGTATGTGTGGTTTGTAATGTTTGCAATGTTGTATGTGTGGTTTGTAATGTTGTATGGTATGTGCAGTTTCTGATGTTGTAAGTGTGGTTTATGATGTCGTATGTATGGTTTGGGATGTTGTATGATACGTGAAGTTTCTGATGTTGCATGGTATGTGTAGTGTCTGATGTTGTAAGTGTGATGTGTGATGTTGTATGTTTGATTTGTGATGTTGTATGGTACTTGTAGTTTTTGATGTTGTAAGGCACGTTTGGTTAGAGTTGATACGTGTTAAGTTTGATGTATGATGTACGTTTTTCTTTGTTATGTTCTGTGGTGCGTTCGGTTTGTGATGTTGTATGATACGTCTGTTTTGTTTTGTATTTTACGCATGCATTACCCATTTGATTTTTTTTTTAAAATAATGTGTAAGAAATGTTTGTCATAAAACAAAAATGTGTCTGCAACAGTTGTGTTACCTTAATCGTCCATAGTGTACTTAATCCGCATTGTACAATATGCCCTCATTAGTGTCCTACCCAAACAAACCCATCCCCAGTGGCGTAGCGAGGTCGGGGGTCACCCGGTGCGGCACATGGTGTAACCCTCCAGAGGCGTAGCGACCCTTCCCGGGGACAAAATTTCAATTTTCGATTTGCATCCCCCCCCCCCTCAAACTTTCGATCTGCACCCCCCCCCCCCTTAAACTTTTCATTTGCACCTCTTAAAAGACTATTTAACATTCGAATTAATCACTTAATTAAGTGGAATTATCATTTTTCTCTATTTATATTTTACTATTTTTTGCCTTGGAGTCACCCCCCCCCCCTAAATGGTGTCACCCGGTGCGGTCCGCACACACCCCCCCCCCCACTCCCCTCGCTACGCCTCTGCCCATCCCTGTATAATCAGTGCTCACTTGCATTACTGGCGTTTATTTTTTCTTATCTTGATAGTTATAGTTACAAGCGACAAGATGTTGTTGGTTAGTGGGGGGGGGGGGGTATATGGAGGGTTATAGTGGAGGTTAGGGTTAGGGGTGGTGGGGTGTTTTGGCAGTGGGGCTATTGTAGTGGGAGTGTGGTTGCAGTGGTGGTTGTGAGGTCACTGTAGTTGGTGATATGTTAATGGTAGTGGGGATATTGTAGTGGGGGTGGGGTATTAGTGGTAGTGAGGTTATTGTAGTGGGCTGTGGGGTTACAGTGGTGGTAGTGGGGTTGTGTAGTTGATGATATATTAATAGTAGTGGGGTTATTGTAGTGGGGGTGGGGTATTATTGGTAGTGGGGGGTTATTGTAAGGGGGGTGTGGTTGCAGTGGTGGTAGTGATGTTATTGTAGTGATTGGCGGGGTATTAGTGGAAGTAGTGATATTGTAGAGGGCGATGTTATGGTAGTGTGGCAATTGTAGTGGATTTTAGGGTAGAGAGGTTACTGTGGTGGGTGTTATGGTATTAATGTAGATTAAGGTAGAGGGGCAATTGCAGTGGGTGTAGGGTCGTGTGTGTTGATTGATTTATAGTTGTGGTAGTAGAGTCTGTAATGAGTGTTAAGTTCGTCTTCTTTAACCTTTATTGTTTAATCTATATATATATATAAATTTCTACCTACTGTCTAGGTTTTTAACGTGTAGTCTACAACAAATAACCCCCTACATCCAACGTGTCTCCTACAATACTCATCACGTAACTACCAAGGTACATAACTGTTATGAAATGCTGCGGGTGAGTCCTCATCTCAGCAATGAATGACGTTCGTGGGTGAGACTGCGAGACCGTAGCCCATAAATGCCAAAGCTCTTGTGTATTTTAAGGGCCTACTCAACTTTGATGACCTGGTAAAACACAGCCATCGCATGCGCGACGTGCTAATGTGCATCGATTGGGCTAAATTGTATTGATAACTAGCGTACCCGTCCCGCGCGTTGCGGCAGGCTGACGCAATCTTTTAAGACGATTTCCTAACAACTTTACCAATAGTATATTTTAGGAAGCGTGGCCTTGTTTTCTAATCCTGAATTATTTAAATCTAAACAGCCCCGGTGCTTTATTGGATCTCGGCTGTTGGGGCGCGGGTTTGTTCTCCCGCCCATGTATCAGGGGCGTCACTCGGTGCTCTCGAAATTCACCGGTTAAGCTACCGCGGTGGCGCCAGGGGCACTCCCTGGTTAGGTTTAGTCATTGAATGTAATGGCTCACACATCATGTCCCTATTGTAGGGTACTTTTTAAAACGAATGTAGGCGCCATATTGCTCACATGTCCCTATTGTAGGGTACTTTTTAAAACGAATGTAGGCGCCATATTGCTCACATGTCCCTATTGTAGGGTACTTTTTAAAACGAATGTAGGCGCCATATTGCTCACATGTCCCTATTGTAGGGTACTTTTTAAAACGAATGTAGGCGCCATATTGCTCACATGTCCCTATTGTAGGGTACTTTTTAAAACAAATGTAGGCGCCATATCGCTCACTAGGAGACCCAGGTAATCAGTGTCACACGACCGTCAGGGTGAAAACCGGACGCACCGGATTTAATAAATGATTAATTATGCCCACCGTGTCCATAGTGTATCGCACTTTTAAAAACAAACGTAGGTGCCATAGTGCTCACTGTGAAGTCAGGGGAGAGAAATCGACCCTGCCGATGCGCTGGTGGACGCGCCTTGTTCGATCTAGGGAACGATTATTCAAACTCTTGGCATCCATATTGCACTCTTTAAAATGAACGTAGGCGCCATAGTGCTAATGAGGGAGCCCGATCGCCAAAAAGTTCGTTGAAAATTTTTTCAAGTTTTTGCACGTGCTGCTTTTTTGTGTGCTTTTGTTTGTCGTCTGTCGTTGGGTCAAACTGGCGAGCCAAATTTCGACCACTTTTAACGGACCGATTCCGTTCAAAACCTGGCGAGTGGGCCAAGACCCGACTACAATTCAATATGACAACAAATTTTATGCTTAAAGTTTATAAGAATTAATTGAAGATCGCTAACAATCTATTAATCTTGATATATTTTAGCAAAACTAAAACTTCTTTTTCCTTAGATCTTCCATTTTGTAAAATAGGAAAGCACATTTTAGCCTTAATCTGGATTCAAAGTTGTTTCTTTTTAAATCAGTATTTAAAATTAAAGTCTTTAATGTTAAACGTACTTAAATCATGTAATATGCATTCTGAGCTAACAAAGTTCACAGATTCATAGGCTTGATGACATTTATTTCATATAAGTCTTTAAAGAGGGACTTCAAAAACTCTTTCGTCATTAATTATTTTTTGCAAAAGATAAATTGAAACTAGATAATTATCGACCATCTATTGGTTTGATTTTTTTCATAAGTGTCGTTTTAGCACTTTCAGCGAAGGGTTGTTAATTTACTTATTAATTAGTATATTTTTATTTCATCGTCTCGATAATACTAGATATAAAACAAATATTAAAACGTTTATATCAGTATTTGACTATGATTAATTTTTCGTGACCGAACGAAAGGATATTTTTGAAAACTTTCTTCGGCAATATTGGTCTAAATTATGGCAGGAATCGATTGGTAAAT